GGCTGCCAGCTTTTCCAGGAGTATATTATGGGAGACAGTGTCAAAGGCTTTGCTGAAGTCCAGATAGACCACATCCACAGCCTTTCCCTCATCCACCAGGTGGGTCACCTGATCGTAAAAGGAGATCAGGTTGGTCAAACAGGATCTGCCCCTCCTAAACCCATGTTGGCTGGGTCTGATCCCTTGTCCATGCTGTAACTGCTGTGTGATTGCACACAGGATGATCTGCTCCATAACTCTGCCAGGCACCGAGGTCAGGCTGACAGGCCTGTAGTTACTAGGGTCAGCCTTGCATCCTTTTTTATGGATTGGAGTGATATTTGCCAACTTCCAATCATCTAGGACCTCCCCCGTGAGCCAGGACTGTTGGAAGATGATGGAGAGCGGCTTGGCAAGCTCTTCTGCCAGCACCCTCATTACCCTAGGATGGATCCCGTCTGGTCCCATAGACTTGTGAGGATCCAGATGGTTCAGTAAGTCACCAACTATTCCCTCCCGGAATACAAGGGGGCTATTTGGTTTCCTATCTCTGTCTACCAGCTCCAGAGGCCAGTTGCCTTGAGGGCCACCTGTCTCACTGGTAAAAACTGAGGCAAAGTAGGTGTTAAGTACCTCAGCCTTCTCCTCATCTCTATTAACTATGTTTCCCTCCAAGTCCATCAAAGAATGGAGGTTTTCTTTGCCCCTCCTTCTGTTATTAATGTATTTAAAGAAGGACTTTTTGTTATCCCTAACAGAAGTGGCCAATTTAACTTCAAATTGCGCTTTTGCATCCCTGATTTTCTTTCTGCATGATCTAGCTGTCTTCCTGAATTCTTTGTAAGTAGTCAACCCTTTCTTCCATAGTTGGTAAACTCTCTTTTTATCCCTGATTTCCTTCAGAATCCCCCTGTTTAACCAAGCTGGTTGTCTTCCCCACCGGCTTGCCTTTCGGCACACTGGTACAGCCTGTTCCTGTGCTCTCAAAACTTCCTGCTTGAAGCACATCCATCCCTCCTGAACCCCCTTTTTTTCAAGGGTTGTTTCCCAGGATATGCTCTGGACTAGACTTCTGAATAGGTCAAAATCTGCCCTCCGGAAGTCCAGCTTAGAGGTTTTATTGTTGGCTCACCTTGAATCTCTGAGTATTGAAAATTCTATTATTTCGTGGTCACTATTTCCCAGGTGGCCTTCAACCACTACGTCTCCCACCAGCCCCTCTCTGTTTGTAAACAGCAGGTCTAGCGGGGCCTTACCCCTGGTAGGTTCATTTACCAGTTGATGAAGGAAATTGTCCTCTATACACTCCAGGAACCTCTTAGACTGCCTCTTCTCTGCAGTATTGAGCTCCCAGCATATATCTGGCAGGTTAAAGTCACCCACAAGGACAAGGGCTGACGATTTTGAGACATCTGCCAGCTGCTTGTAGAATAATTCATCCCCTTCATCATGCTGGTAGGGCGGTCTGTAACAGACACCTATGATGATGTCAGCCTTGTTGGTCTTCCCCCTGATCCTGACCCACAGGCACTCAACCTTATCGTTGCTGACCTCAAGTTCAACAGAGTCAAGAGACTCTCTAACATATAAAGCCACCCCTCCACCTCTCCTACCCTGCCTGTTCTTTCTGAAGAACTTGTGGCCTTCCATAGCAGCACTCCAGTCATGCGAGTCATCCCACCATGTTTCTGTGATGGCGACTACATCATGGCCTTCCTGCTGCACAGTGGCTTCCAGTTCCTCCCGTTTGTTGCCCATACTGCGTGCATTAGTGTACATGCACTTCAGGTGGGCTGTTGATTTAATTCTTAACTCAGGCTTTCCATCCCTAGTTTGATCACGGGAGAGCCCGGTTTCAACCCCTTTCCCCTTCCAACCTAGTTTAAAGCCCTCCTGATCAGCCTCGCTAACTTATGGGCTACAGTCCTCAACTTCTTGGAGAGATTATTTTGGGCTCATCCTCATAATTTAGATTATATTTTAGCTGAATCTCAACTTTTTGCAGTTTTGGGGGCAGGGGTCTTCTTGCTATTTCTGAGGGGGTTTTACCTGAATCTTGGTGGTTTAGGTTTTTGTGGGCTGAATCTTGATGTTTTGGAGGTCCCGCAGAACCCTGAAGTTGGGAGATGGGGGACTCGTGGATTCCTAGGACCCCCAGCAGCCTGGAGAGGGAGGGCAGGGACACTGTAGAGGGGAGACCCCACATACACACAGGATTCCCAGCAGCCTGGACAGGGTGACCTCCAGAATCCCAAAGTGGAGAGACCAGAGAGGAGGATCTCCTGGCTGGAGTTTTTTGGGCTGAATCTTGGTGTTTTGGAGGTTTTTATGGTCCCAGGATGGCCGGTGAGTTCTAGAGATGGATTTGGTCAGGAGGAACCCCCAAGCCAAAGCGCTCAGCCCTTGTTTCCCCTCAGCAGGATTTGTCCTTCCCAAAGCTTAAGTGGATGGAGGAGGAGCCTGCTAGGAAGAGGAAAAAGCCACAGGCCCCCCAGGCAGGTGAGGAGGAAGTCAGTGCCCCTTTGGCCCTGTCTTGTGGTGCATGTGGAGGCCAGATCTGGGGGATGTCCTTGGCCTTCCCTCTGGGCCGGAGGCAAATCCCCTTTCTGTCCTTCTTCCTTCCTGCCCCAGGCCCCGAGCTGAGGACGGAGAGCACGGAGGACAAATCCCCGCGGCAGAGCCTGGTGGGAGAGGCCGTTTTGAAGGGCTCCCCGGCGCAGGAAGGCAGCGGGGAGGAAAAGGCCCGGAGATGCCCCCAGAGGAGGGGCTGCAAAGCCAGCCCAGGGAGCTGTGAGGAGGAAAGAGCCGTCCTGTGCCGGGAAGGCAGCCGGAGCTTGAGCCGGAGCTCCGAGCTGGTGGTCCCTGAGCAGCCTCCCAGCAGGGAGAAGCCCTTCAGGTGCTTGGAATGTGGGAAGAGCTTCAGAACGAGCTCCAAGGTGATCCGACACCAGCTCATCCACACTGGGGCACGGCCCTATTCATGTAGGAAATGTGGGAAGAGGTTTCAGCGCAGCTCACATCTCCTCATTCATGAGCGGGTACACACAGAGGAGAGGCCCTTCCGCTGCATTGACTGCGGGAAGGGCTTCAAGTTGAACTCCCACCTCATCACCCACCGGCGCATCCACACTGGGGAGAGGCCCTACAAGTGTGGGGAGTGTGGGAAGAGCTTCACCCAGATCTTCACCTTGATGCGACACCAGAACATCCACTCTGGGGAATGGCCCTACAAGTGCTTGGAATGTGGGAAGAGGTTTAGGGGTAGCTCAGATCTCCTCAGGCATGAGCGGATACACACGGGGGAGAGGCCCTTCCACTGCACCGACTGCGGGAAGGGCTTCAACCGGAACTCCACCCTTGTCAGGCACCGGCGCATCCACACCGGGGAGAGGCCCTACAAGTGTGGGGAGTGTGAGAAGAGCTTCACCCACAGCTCCCACTTGACCAGACACCAATGGACCCATCAGAAAGGGAAGCCCTAGGAGTAACTTGACTGCGGGAAGAGCTTTGGCCACTATTCCCACCCCGAATGACCCCGATGATGGTGAGGCAACCCCTGGAGTCCAGTGACTGTCAGTCCATCCCTTTCTACCAGAAAAGGCCCTTTCCCAGGGCCAGGTTGTGCCAACAGAACCCTTCTTGGGGGGTGTGTGTAGATTCCTGCCTTAGCTGGGGACCCCCCAAGGTCACTGCTGGAGGTTGAGAGCAGAGATCTCCCCATGAGTGTTGGTCTGGGGGAGTTCCATCCCTCTCTAATTCCTAATTCTTGCTTTGGTGCCAGCTTGAGTAGAATTGCTTCAACAATTGCTTTAGTGTAGAGCACTGTCCTATCTTATGCTGTCCTACTGGTAGTTTTAGTGTTTCTATTGTGCAGTAAATAATTCTGATGAAGATCTCTTGTCTGATCATTTGTAACCCTAAATAATAATTTCTCTCGATAGATTTTATTTGCCATCATTAAAACCTGGGAAACAGAAGTGTTTCAGTCCCACCTTTGTTATTCCTTTAAACTGAACATTGTCATAACCCAAGGCTGAGATTGGATCCAGCAGCCCCAGCACCCCACAGGAAGTTGGGAGCTCAGGGGGCCTCCCCCCCTTTGTAAATCCTCCTGTTCCAAAGACCCCCATGGTCTTGTCAGACCTGCAAGACCACCCCGACTTTTCCACCCTTCTCTCTGTTCATCCCACTTTTCCATGGTCCCCTGCTACAATCTGCTTAAATATTGCAGAAAGAACTTCAGATTTGAATATTCCCTTGAGCAAAACTAAAATTCACACAAGTTATTGGTTAATACCAAAAACTAATTTTATTAATTACTAAGAGATGCAAAGAGAAAGGAAAAAATAAGAAAAGGTTGGAAACTGCTAAGATTATTTGTAGATGCAGAGAAAAGAGACCACTGAAAACTACATTTTCCCACTGAGCTGGTCTGTGTGTTGGGGGGGAGAAGCAGTTTCTGCCTTTTTTTTCTCTGTCTCTGCAACTTTTGGATGTTGTCTCTGTAGCTGCAGGGGGTCTGACAGCTTTAGTTCTCTGCAATGCACCAGGTGTGGTTTCACCGCTCACGCCCCTGTCCCAGGCCGTGCAGGGTCTCAGCTCAGCCAAAGCTTTGGGCCCTCAGAAATATGGTCAGGGTAGAAGGATAAGGTAGAACTCCCACATGTGGCACGGTGGTCTCAGCTCTCTCCAGGCCAGCACAGTTCCAGTCTCCGGTGGCAGGCAGGCAGCACGCGGTGGGGAGAAAAGGTGAAGGGAGGTGGGCAGAGATTCTCGGCTACAGTCACCAGTTCTTCTCCCTTTCCTCTCCCTGATTTTCCAAAATTTGCCCTCAACTTTTATAGTGTTCAAAGGAGGTTGTACATGGTTTCTTGGCACGTAGCCAGTTGTGATGTTGGAGGCAATATCATAACCATAAACAATGGCAGGATCTTTTGGCAGGAA